GGCTCGCATGGCTGATGCTCTAAGCCTGGAGGTCAAGCAAACTTCCAAGGCAGTGCTGGACCCAGTGTTTAAAAGGGTGCAAGCGGAGTCCCCACCCGCTCCTCTTCTACCCTTCCTTCCCTATCTCCTTGAAGTGATCCAGGGCTCCTGGAAGACCCCCTCCTCCATCCCTCCAACCTCCAAGAAAATTGAATCTTGGTACAGAACGGACGATGAGGGCTTGGAGTGGCTGAAACACCATCCCGACCCTAACTCGGTGGTCGTGAAAGCGGCTCAGGGGTTCGGAAGACAGTCGTCGGCGCCGTCCGACCGTGAGGGGAAGAGATTCGACGCAGTGGGCAGGAAGCTTTACTCCGGTGCCCTCTTACTGGCCCGCATGGCGAACTATGGGGCTTGTATGGGGGCGTACCAGCAAATTCTTTGGGAAAAAGCAGAACCATTTTCCAGAGGATGTCTGCCGAGGATCGTGCTGCCATGACCACCCTGGCTCAAGAGGCAAACTCTCTGGCGCATCATCAGATGCAGATGGCCAAACACACGGGGGACACTGCGGGCAAGATGATTGCTCATGCTGTGGCAATCAGGAGGCATGCCTGGCTGAGATCATCTGGCCTCTCTACCTCATCGAGGCAGGTGATCGAAGACCTCCGTTCGATGCCCTGGGGCTCTTCAACGCCGGGACGGACGACAAACTGAAGTCAAATCACGACTTCAAGACTTTGGCCTCTAAGTGTGGTTTTGAGAATCAAAACCAGGCACAAAGAACCAGATGGTTCCAATACAAACGCCGGCACACGGTCCCGTACCGTACCATTCAGTACCGTCATCCAGCCCGTCCCCTACAGACCTCCCAACAAACCCACCCTCAACAACCCCAACAGCAACGGAGGCAGCACCAGCAGCAGCGTTCACGTTCTCGCCAGGCTTCAGGAGGCAACCAGGCCAGGCGCCGCATTTGACGCCCTTGTGGACGATACCGTTTGCAGTTTCGTTACCGATGTTGTTCCCATGTCCCTCCCAATGGTACCCGCCCTCATCCTTCCATCCGGCTCGACACCGTTCGGAGATCGCCTGACAAACTTTCTCCCTGCATGGGAAAATATCACCTCAGATGCATGGGTTTTAAAGATTGTCGACGAAGGCTATGCATTGGAGTTCGAAGAGCTCCCACCAACAGGCCAGATTGTCGATACCGAGCCATCCTCGGCGATCCTGACAGAGGTCGATACCTTGCTTGAAAGGGGCAATTTCCCCTCTCCCGGACTCTCAAAACCATCGAGCCTTCTTCTCCAGATACTTTACTGTCCCAAAGCCGGATGGCTCCCTTCGCCCCATCCTCGATCTCAGAGACTTAAACTCCTTCATCGAACCTCGAAGGTTTCGGATGGTGACGGTATCGTCCATTCTCCCCTTCCTCAGATACGGGGACTTTTTCACGTCCGTCGATCTCCGGGACGCTTACTTCCATCTCTCAGTCAGAAAACATCACAGGCGCTTCCTGGCCTTCAGGGTAGCGGGACAGACGTACGTGTTCAACGTCCTCCCGTTCGGTCTCGTGACGGCACCGAGAACTTTCACCAAATGCATGTCGGTGGTCGCAGCGGCCCTCAGAAGGGAAAAAATCCGCATTTTTCCTTACTTAGATGACTGGTTGTTGGCAGCACGCTCCCCGGACCTCCTGCGAGCGCAGGTGGCAAGGACACTCTCCCTCCTCGAAGACCTGGGCCTCCAGTTGAACGAGGAGAAATCCCAGCTCGAGCCCACCACTTGCATAAAGTTCATCGGCGCCATGTTCGATTCTCTCTCCCAGACAGTCTTCCTTCCGGAGGAGAGATTCAGGGCTCTTCGAGCCGAAGCACTCAAGGTGCGTCGCTCCCGAGTGGTCCCGGTGAAGCAGATACAGGTCCTCCTCGGACACATGGCCTCCACGGTGATGGTGACGCCGTTGGCAAGGCTCCGCTTCCGCCCCCTCCAGAGATGGTTCTTGGACCACTTCAACCCCATGCGAGACAGCGCCGCAAAGCGCCTGCTGGTACCGAGGTCGGTAAAGGACTCGCTAAACTGGTGGATGAACCGCCAGCATGTCTGCAAGGGCATTCCCTTTCACCCAGAGCCCCCAGCCGTCACGATCACGACGGACGCCTCGATGTTCGCATGGGGATGCCATACAGGAGAACTCTCGGTACACGACCTCTGGTCTCCTCAGGAAAGACAGTCCCATATCAACTACTTGGAACTGCTGGCAATCTTCAAAGCCCTGAGGGCATTTGCCCTCCTGGTCACGGGGAAGTCCGTCCAGATCCTCACGGACAACATGGTGGCAATGTTCTACGTGAACAAGCAGGGAGGAACGGGCTCGAGAAAACTTCTCAAGCTGTCGCTGGAACTCTGGGACTGGTGTGTAGCCAGGTCGGTGTCGATAACAGCCTTACACCTCCCGGGCGAAGCCAACGTCGAGGCGGACGTACTCAGCAGAACCAGGGCAACATCCCACGAGTGGAGGCTGAACCCCGACGAACTGGCCGAGATCTTCAGGGAGTGGGGCCTCCCAGCCGCAGACCTCTTCGCGTCGCCACAAAACGCTCAGCTTCCTCAGTTCGGTGCTCGACTTGCTCCGAACACGGTACCAGGGTGTCTCGGAGACGCGTTCCTGTTGGACTGGTCGAAGCATCTGCTTTACCTCTTCCCTCCCTTCCCGCTCATCCCGAGGGTGATCGAGAGGATCCAGTCGGCGCGAACAGACTGCATCTTGGTGGCGCCGGAATGGCCACGACAACCGTGGTTCTCGGTCCTACTCCAGTTGTCCGAGGGGCGGATGAAGCGCCTTCCGCTTCGGCAGGACCTGCTCTCCCGGGAAGACGGTCAGCTTCTCCACCCCGACCTCGCTTCTCTGCATCTTTCGGTGTGGAGGATCCGGTGTTGAGATCCCTGTGTCCAGGAGTTCTTCCAATCCTGGAAGCAGCTCACAAGCCAGCAACCAAAAAGTGTTACTCAGCGTGCCTTAGCCGTTTCCAGGCCTTCCTCTCCGAGAAAGGCCTAGACGATCATCGACCTTCGGTACCGGCAATTCTCTCGTTCTTGTTGCACCTTACCGAACGAGGCTTGTCGCTATCTTCACTCAAGTCTCACTTGGCAGCCATATCGTGGCAGCTTCAACGGACAGGAGAAGCTTCCCTGTTTAAGGATAGCTCCGTGAGATCCTTTCTGCGAGGTTTCAACAACCTACATCCCCCGGTCCGTTCTCCAACTCCAGGTTGGGACCTCGACCTCGTACTGGCTCGGCTCGCTCGACCGCCTTTCGAGCCATTGTCTTCGATTGAACTTCGGTTGTTGTCATGGAAGGTGGCCTTCCTGGTCGCTATCACTTCAGCCCGTCGGCCGTCGGAACTTGCGGCATTGCGGGTGGACGAACCTTATTTTGTTGTCCACGAGGACAGAGCAGTTCTCCGCACAGATGTGACATTCCTCCCTAAGGTCGTGTCCCCCTTCCATGTTAATGAAGACATTGTCCTTCCCTCGTTGTGTCAGTCCCCCTCTACCCCGAGGGAAAGGAGACTTCATATGCTTGATGTGCGGAGAGCATTGCTGTGCTATAGGGACAGGACTGCTCAGTCTCGAAGGTCGCAGAGACTTTTTGTTGCATATGCCCTTGATAAGGTGGGCCTGCCGATCACGGCGCAACGCTTGTCGCACTGGATTACCTCGACCATCGAGCTCTGTTACCGACTGGCTCGACAACAACCCCCCTCGGTCGTCCGGGCTCGGTCGACCAGGGCTATGGCGGCATCGACAGCCTTTCTTAAGGGGATTCCCCTGGACGCTATTTGCAAAGCGGCCATTTGGAAGAATCCTCAGACATTTGTGTCGCATTATAGACTGAACACCAGGTATACACCTGACATGGCCTTTGGGAGGGCAGTTCTGGGCTCATGCCTGCCTTGAGCTTCGCAGTGTTCTATCGGTACCGAGTGTTCCTTCGATACCGTGGGTTACTGTGAATGTTATTACCATGTTACTTGAATTTTTTGCCGGTGAATGTAACTGCACCTTTACACTTGATGCCTTACTGCCTGAGGCGCAGGCAACCATTGCACTATGGCCTAATGGGCTCATCACGGGTATTCTGTGTCTTTATCGATGGCTTTGCCTTGCAAATGTGTTGTGCACTTGTTTACAAACTGTTTTTGTATTACTACTTAATGTGCCCTCATTATAATGAGTGTCTTCGATAATCACCATGTGGTTTATTTCAAGGGTCGAAAGTTTACTCAGTTGTTGGTCACCCTCACGTGACCGGGAGGATCACGTACTCCCATAAGTTTATGCACTGTGCCCTTCTTTGGAAGTGATTGCAACCTCTTGTTATGCACTGTACCCTTCTTCGGAAGTGATTACAATCTCTTGTTGGTAACTGTTTTTTGCACTTAATAAAATTGTTTGGCCCTTGACTTTAATGGTCGGTTTGCTTCTTCCCGCCTCCGGGACCTGAGCTTGCTAGTCTCCACAAGTGTGCATTCGCAGAGCCCACGAAGAAAAATGGTAGGGTACATACCTGTGACCATCTTTCTTCGAGTGGTGCTCTGCGAATTCACACTAACCCGCCCAGCCTCCCCGCAAGCAAACCTCCAATTTCTCGCTACCGTGGCGGCGTAGGAATTGGAGTGGCGGCGCGGGGCGCCCTTTTATCCCCTGCCGGGGCTGGGCGGGGTTACCGCCAAAACTTGAAAAGTTTTAAAATGTAGAAGTTTCCGTTGGAGCCCGCGCAGGCGCAGTCTCTCCACAAGTGTGAATTCGCAGAGCACCACTCGAAGAAAGATGGTCACAGGTATGTAACCTACCAATGTTGTGCACAAACCCATTCTAGAGGAAGGTGGCACTTAAGTATGGTAATGATGGAATGAAAATGTATACACTGTGAACATATAAAATATAGACCTCTATATACAAATATACAATATGAAATACAATCCTTATACAAATACTTACATGTAAAAATAGGATTTTGCTACTGCCATTTCATGATTCAGTTGAGCAATGCAAAATGTCTGGTAGCTGTTCTGGCTCCTTGACAGTTCCACATTTGTAAGAGTCAATGAATGTAGTTTCAAGTTTAAGCAGTATTGTTACAGTGTTTTAATTCTGATGTCCCATTTTCAAGGACCCTTTTGACATGATATAGAACAATATATCATTTATACACTAAGCTTTGGACAATTGGTCTGAATGTTAAGTTCTGCTATACTTCTTCTGATGGTTCAGAAGTACAGCAGAAATCTAATTTTCCAGACTTGTATTTGATTCCTTTCTTAGCCTTTCTTCCTGCATTTTAGTTCTTTTTCTTTATTACAAATCTTGCTAACCTCATTATCAAATGTTTTGTAAGGTCCTGGCATTGATGGACTCATGGATACTTTAGTTAGAAATGGGCCAGTATGAAATATTCCAGAGCTCTATTCACAGAAGGGATAATTCGGTGAGAAAAACCTTCAGAAGTCAATGAACATGGAATAGGAGTGAAGATATTCAGTATTGAAAGCACAAATTTCACACCATGGATTCAGTACTCCTCAAGTACAAAACACAGAGGGAGTGTGTCAGAATTCATGAATAGGTACATGAAGTACAAATTAAGCATTGCTTATTGAAAAACCACTGCAGATGCATTCTAACACCTTTGTGAGGTAGGTATAATCTCCATTTTTAAACATGGAGAATTTGAGGCAGAGAATTAAGCTGAATTACTCTAGACCAGACAGGATTCAGTGTCCAATGCCATCTGAGAGGTACGAGGTTCTGGGCCTCTATTTCCAATAATACCTACAGAGCTTCCTGAAGATCTTGTACAGCAGTTAAAAAAGGTTCTGCTCCAAAAACAGAGGGTGACTGAATACATCATTGGCAAAATTTGATTTCTTCACTGCTATGGAAGCAGGTTGTCACTCACAGCATCTGAATCAACCCTGGGTTTCAGACATACACAGTCCTCTTATATAGAAATTAAGAGTTCAGGAATCTTTCTTAGCCCATCTCTAATCTTTCCATGATTAATTTGTATACATGCATCTTTAGAAAACAAAATCACACATGGAGCTGGTTCTTAAAACCTAAATTCAAGTATTTATAGATATTCCCCAGTCTGAATGGGGTTGTGTTTTTCCCCATCTTAAATCTAAACTGCTATCATATAGAATTAAAACAGAATCATGTTGAGAAGTAAAATGCATTTTCTATCTTAACCATAAAAGGCAGAATAAGCATTTTATATGTCTTCAGCAGATTGGTAGGTTTTTCATCTTGTCCTGGATTGGAATCATGTATTTATTTTCTGTGCCAGTGCCTAAGTTCAGAAGGTCAAGTCAATTGCAAACATCACTGTAAACGAAGGTATGCCTTGCATGGAACATGACACTACTAATGGAGGACTGTCACAACCAACATCAAGACAATGTCCAGTTGGGATGTGTAAATATTATCGAATGCTTCTTAGCCCATTCTGCAAACACTTTCTTTTCTGTGATAAACCTGTGGCCTCCATAGGGTGCGTTTTCATGTAGGAAGTACTCATCACATTCATCTCTTCCAGGCTCATAGTAGTGATAAGGAACCTTCCTAAAGCCTTCTGACCTAGAGCAAAGACAAAATTACAAAAATGAAATACATTGTTGGTAATGTCTAAATCAGTGGTTCACAACCTGTGGGTCCCCAGGTATTTTGGGCTACAACTCCCAGAAATCCCAGCCAGTTTACCAGCTGTTAGAATTTCTGGGAATTGAAGGCCAAAACATCTGGAGACCCACAGGCTGAGAACCACTGGTCTAAATGAATTCATCACAGATTGGAAATTACTTTGTGGGGCTGCAAGTCCTATAACCCCTCAGCCTGTGTGGCCAGTTATATTAAAACTACAGTAACATTTTTGGGACAAAAAAGAAAGGCAGGGAAGGAATGGGGGAGAGAAAAGATGGAATGAGAGTAAAGGATGTATTGTCAAAAAAGCAGTAAAATATTCAGGAATATAACAATGGAGCTTAAGCCTACATAGTCACAGAGCTCTTTTGAACATAACCTTTAACTGTACAGTTTTATGCATCTCATTCAGGATATGTAACACCTTTAACATGTACAATCAGAGCTTGTGGTGGGGTTCACTTGTTTGGACTCCTCAGAGAATCAGCATAGACTGTTATCCATAGCAACTATAATCCAAACAGGTTTTTCCACAGAAGTTCTGAACATAAATGAATGCAGAGAATAAAGGTATGGGTTGAGCATCCTTTATATGAAATGGTTTGGACCAGAAGTGTTTGGGATTTTTTGGAATACTTGTATTTGTATATAAGTACATAATGAAATAGCTTGGTGCTGGAACCCAAGTTTAAAGATATTTTTTATGGTACATATACATCTTGTACTCACAGCCTGAAGATCACTTTATACACAATATTTTAATTTTTTTTTTCATGAAACGAAGTTTGGGTTCATTGAGCCATCAGTGAACAGGTTTCAATGGCTGGATCTGCTCCCTTATTTAGATATGTCATTACCAAACTACAAACACCCTCTTCTTTTTCCAAGCAGGGAGATCTTTCAATATATTTTGGTATTTTTTTTTATTTTGGGGGAAATTTTAAAAATATACTTATGTATAAGTCTACCTCATGTATACATCGAGGGTCAATCTGTGAAGAGGGCAAAAACCCTAATGGCACTTTAGGGGGGACAGATGCCCCAATTATTGGATTTAAAGAGGTGGAGGAAGTAGCAGTGGTTGGTGCTTCTTTTATGTTTGTCAGAGATTGAATAAGCTCTTTCCTTTCACCAATCTACTTAGAGAAGAATATGGTTCCCTTTGGGATAAGAATTAACTGCAGTAGATATGTCAATCCATATTTTGGGGTTGGTTTTTTTAAACTAAAATTTCTAGACTTATACATGAGTATATAGGGTAACTCCAGGCAGCTGTTTTCAGACAATTGACCTGAAACGGCACCCATTGTATTTTTTTCTTCAAAAAAGTATTTCATCACTCATGATAAACTGTGTCCAAACAATGATGGCATCCAGTATAAAACAAAGCAATGCAATGCAAATGGAAAGTATTCACACTCTGGTGTTCATTTCAATATGCATTTTAATATGCATCTGATTTATGCATCTTGATCTTCTAAGTGATACAGTACATCAACAGATTGTAGGGCTGGATATGCTGAGCTGAATCAGGGCAAATCAGTTCATATTATTCCCATCTGTTTGCTGGATTCTGGGAGAAAATAAATTTGTTCTTCTTATATGGAACACTCTAACAGCACAAGAGGTATTCAAAAGCAAACAGGTAGGTTTCCTGTTTCCCTATTTCATTCCGCTTTGGCAGAAAGTCTTTGATTTTAAACATGGTTTGTGACATTTGACATTCAACTTTCCTAAATGCTTTTATTTAATCAATACCACATGCCACCTGGGGACTAAATACACTGACAATAAAGTGCCACATCAGTAGAGATTACTGGGGTGCAGTGTGAGAAATGCTGTCCTAATCCATTTCTTGGATTTATGGCATTAAAATGAATTGTGAAATTTTGACAAGCCATTCGAATTGTAGATGTGTGAAAATAATTTCCTGTGATCTTACTTGCAGTAGGTGTCATTTATCATCCCATAGACATGTATTCTGTAGCAAGCATCCATGGCCAGAATTAAGGTAAACCAACCGGTGCTGAGATAGGATCCTGACTGAATTCTGTAAAAGACACAGCAGACTGCATTGAGAAATTGCACCCCCTTTCAAAAACAAAAACACATTGTCTGTGGCATGACACAAAATAGCATTCAGCAGCTTGAGAAATCAACAAAAAAGTTAATTTGTATTATCTATATCTGTCCTCTCATGCTGGCATGCTCAGGCTCCCTGGATTAGTTAGTCAGTAAAGAAATACCATATGCTAATTCTGTGGCCTTATTTATTTAATATTCTGCCTTTCTGCCATAACAGGTACTTGATGCCTCTAGAAGAAACAAAACTGAAATACAAGCAGAAATATAATTAAAACATTAAGAACAGATTAAACACATGATTAAAATACATCAATAAACCTATAGAGCAATATCCAGCCAGCTAAAGCTTTTTTACTTCAGCCTGTAACTTCTCCCAAAGGTTTCATGTATATACCAGTATATAAAATAGCATGGGAGACAAGAAGGGATGCTGAAAGACACCATAGTCCCATGTTATTATCCTTGAACCGGAGATTCCAAGCACCACTTTCTAAACTAACCCTTCCAGGACAGACTGGAGTTATTGACGGGTTGAATCTTTTTTAAAGCAATAGAGTTCAGCACCTTGGATAGTTCCTTTGCACATTCATTGCCTTCACTATGTAGCCAATATGAGTCTAAACGGGCTGCTTTTATCTACTTAGAGCAGTGGTTCTCAGTCTGTGGATTCCCAAGTGTTTTGGCCTACAACTCACATAAATCCCAGCTGTTAGGATTTCTGGGAGTTGAATGCCAAAACATCTGAGGACCCAAAGGTTGAGAACTGGCTTAGAGAATATTTCTTTTACAGGCAGTTCCAAAGTTATGGACAAGATAGGTTCTATAGGTTTGTTCGTAAGTTGAATCGGTATATAAGTTGGAAAAAAAGCCAAAACATTTTTGAATTGCAGAGGGATGGGTTAATAGTTCTGTGGTGTTCGTTTGCTGTCTGTGTCCCTGTTCAAACATTTTCAACTCACTTTCTGTCCCTGTGAGAATTGAAAAGTTTGTCTTGTTGTGCAAACAAGGATTGGTGACAAAGTTTCAATGAAGACTCCTTTTCCCCATGATAATTCTTTCAGGAGTGAATTTCCCTTCTGAGGGGTAGATTTCTCTCACTTCCTGTTGTCTCACCCCCATTCTTAACTATGAGTCATTTGTAAGTCAAATGTTTGTAACTCGGAGACTACCTATACATGGGAGCAGCATTGTGATTATAGATACACTCATTAGAGTAGATCCTGTAGATTGAACCCTGATCTATGTTTCTAGACTCCATCCTGACGCTCCTTCTCTATTCACATGATTGTTAGTTGTGTATGTGAAATCAGGGCTATCACAACCCCAACCAAGAAGCTATTGATGTGTATGGTGGTATATCTGTGCCATGGCTTGCTTCCAGTACAGTATGAATAGGAAAAAATTCCTTGAACCTTCTTTCTCATTGAAGTTCTTGATTGAAAACATTTCAGAGATTCAAGTGACCCACAGTACATGCTTGAATATGGGCAGAAGTGGGATGGAAGAAATCAGAAGAACTGGACAAAAATATCTGGCATGGGAAGGATCAATTTTAGTTTAGAAATAATAGCCCAATTTAAAGATTCCAATTTGCTTTAGCGAGTGAAAAACATAAGGATCACCATTATGGAGAAAATTATCTGCGCCATAGTAACTGGAGTATTAGAAACTATCTGTTTCTATACTCTGTTCTCAAGGGGGCAACTTGATGGTTGTGTGAAGTTTATAACTAGGTTATTAGCAAAATAGCATCCTCATGTTCAGGCCTTCTAGTAGTCAGTATTCAAAAAGATTAGAGACACAGAACAGTGATAAAACTTGACTGAATACGTTGCAAAATGACAACCCATTTTAGGACATTTTTTCCCAACTGGAGAGATGTATTGGGCTCATACCATGCCTGGGTAAAAATCATATTTTGGGTTTGTATCTATCTGGAGAACAAAAATTCAGTCTGGAAAAGGAAGCAACTTTGAAATGACAAAAAGAACACATTAGAAGGAATCCATACCTAAACGTAACCCTAAGGCTCAATTGTGGAAACTGCCTTGCCATTCTCTGCAAATCTTATGGTCAGGGTCAAGAACTAACACCTTCAATAATGAGTTAATCAATGTTAGCTCAACAAATTATTCAGATATTAGTGCTATTTCACAAATAAATGTTCATATCTTTGACATTCAGAATAATTGCATTTATTTGCAAAGTGAATATTTCAAGATTTGAAAAATATGGTAATTTGTACTTACCACCATACTGATCTTGATATAATCCATCTGTTATTGCCATGTTTCATTTTTAAAGCTGTGTTCTGTTTCATGCTAAATTCTTGAATATGTATTTTTACTTACTTCACCCCCTCTAAAAATGTAGCTGTTTCTACAATCCTGCACCATCCTCTCAAGAAGTATATCCTACTGAACACAATGGGACTTATCTCCATGAAAACCTATAAAAGATTAGACTGCAGATGTCCTTCACTTTGATGTGAAAACTCTTAATAAAGTCACATGGAGGCTAAAATTTCCCTTAGTGCTTACAACTGCCAGCTTTGCACCATTCCTTTGATCCTCCTCTTTATGTATCCCTCCACTCCAGTTTCAATGGACACTCAGAAAAGCATTTCTGTCAGCCACCTGGAATACTTACTCCTAATTACACTTATAGTTTCTGGTACAGAGCTACTGCTTGACACACTTTATTTATTTATTTCCTATATTTATACCCTGTTTTTCTCACCCTTAGAAGGACTCAGAGCGATTTACAGATTTGCCACTTCAGTGCCACATTGCAATACAAATTATATAAAATACAACACATTAAAAATCAACAAAACCATATATCTATATTGCTGTATATCAGTTTTGTGTTGCACTATTCCCGAATGCCTGATCCCAGGTCTTAACTTTTTTCTAAAGAAGAGGAGGAAGGGGACCAATCTAATATCATTGGGGAGGGAGTTCCATAGCCGAGAGGCCACCACTGAGAAGGCTCTGTCTCTTGTCCCCACCTGTTGTGCTTGTGAAGGAAGTGGAATCAAGAGCAGAGCTTCCCCAGAAGATTTTAATCTCCAAGGTGGATCATAGAGAGAGATATGTTCGGACAGATAAGCTGGGCTGGAACTGTTTAGGGCTTATTAGATGTTTTGAGAAGGCTCTGTCTCTCGTCTCTACCAATTGTACTTGTGAAGGAGGTGGGACCGAGATCCAGGGCCTTCCCAGCAAATCTTAACGTTCTAGCTGGTTCATAGAGGGAAATACGTTTGGACAACTATATTTAAAGATATTATCTTAACCAGTTTCCATCTTTGGGAATGGAAACATGCTACTATGGACTTTTAAAGCTACCAGTTTAGGGTGGTAATAGGCATTTTCCCCAGGTACTATGGAGAAAGCGGATTCTTCTGATAATGGAGGTTTATTGGAAAGTGTTTTATTGTCAGCACTATCTTAAAAACTGCAATACTTGGGAGCAAATTGGAATTTATAAAAAGAATTAATCATTATTTTATGTCTTGTTTTAACAGCATCTGACTTTACTTCTCTCATCAATATACTTCATGGCAAGATAAATAGAAACCGACAATCAAATTCTCAGGTATCTTCCCTGGGAAATGGAAGTCTGGACAGAATACAAATTTGTAGTTTAAAGCAAATATTCCACTTTCTACTTTACCTTTCTTCTAAAGATATTCCACTAATGAATGAATGCAACAAAAAGTAGGATAGTTTTTAACACCTTAGAATGCAATCTAATACCAAAAAACTTGTTTATGACAAGCTAATGAAGGCTGTGCTGGAAGTGTGAAAACAATTTTAAACTCCCCCAAAAGATAATAAAGCCTCTAAGTATCATTGACAGCATCATCCAAAAAACATTATGAAATGGATAAGCAATAGATCTGCCACTGTTCAAAGCTGTAATAATACTAGTACTGCTTATGATAGCACCGGCCACTTTCATGAGACAATTTCCTCTAAGGATGACATGCCATCATAAGAAACTGTATTAAAACCAAGTCATAAGGGGAAAAATGGCATGCACATCTATAATAATGGGTGCATTCATAGCACACGAAAATACCTCATGTGATCACCCTGAATGGAAACATCTGCACCTTCTTCAAAAAGTTCTTATCAGTGTGCACTGAAATTGTTTTTCCATGCATTTCTGCCCATGTAATTGCATGTGCATGATGTGACTGAAAATATGAGTAAGGGTGAATCTACATGGCCTTATACCCCAAGGCTGATTTGGAGTGGATTACTCCCCAGGGGAATCTGCACAGCCAGCCTCTGTGCCATTGCAGTGGCAGGAGGAAATCCACATTGCCCACATTGAGTGGAACCTGCTTCACAGCCCAGAAACATGGGATGGCATTTATGATCCCCCCTTTCCTCCCTCCCCTCTCTGAGTCACACTAGTGCAAGTGTTAGCAACGATGATGAGAAATGACTAGGAGTACTTTGGAGCTCTGTGGCCGCTGCCGTGACAAGAGAAAGAAAGCATGATGGACATGAAAATAGTCTTGATACTTTCCGAATTGGAACCAATCCAACTATTAACGCTGATGCAAAATGTGAAGAAGGACTGGAGCTTCAGAAAAACTTCTAGGGCATTCCCAAACTTTGGCAAATGTAGCCAAGACCCAAAGTCATAGTCAATTCACTATGATGTCATTTTACTATCATAGCAATATCCTAGGGAATTCTGGGGTTGTTTGTTTGGGGCTCTTTTGCATGACATAATTACAGTTCAATATTTCACTGTAACTGTTATGGCAATATCCTATGGAATCCTGTGTTTGCAGTTTGTTGCACTCCTTATAGTGGAAAGAAACTTTAAAAGATCATATTACATTTGGAAGATCTAGTTTATCAGCAGAGGTTTTAATCGAGATAACAGGTTCTTATCATTATTTTATTATTATGTGTTAACCTGTTATGAATTCCGTATTACTATAGT